CTTTATCTGATATAAGTATAGCTGTTCCTGCTTTCTTTTTTGGTCCATTTACTTGTAGGATTGTTTTCCATCCTTTAACTTTGAGTCTATTTTCATCTTTTGTAGTGGTGTTTCCTGGAGACAGCAAAAGGTTGGGTTTTGTTTCTTAATCCAGCCTGCGACTCTGTGTCTTTTTATTGAAGAGTTTAGTCCATTTACATTTAGAGTTAATATTTATATGTTAGCATCTGTATTTGCCATTGTGTTTGTCTTTCCTTTGATTTTATTTATTTATTCTTTTAATAACTTTTTTTGGGGGGGCCTTCTTTCGTTGTTATTCGTCCCTCTGAGGTTCTGGCTTTAGGATTCCTTGTAGTATTTTTTAGAGTGGGGGTTTAGTCGTAATGAAATTCCAGAGTTTCTGTTTGGGAAGGTCCTTAATCTTTCTTCATAGAGGAAGGAGAGCTTTGCAGGATAGAGTATTCTTGGTTGGCATCTGTTTTCTTGGAGTCTGTTGACTATGTCCCTCCACTCTCTCCTAGCCCATAGTGTTTCTTCGGAGAAGTCTGATGTCAGCCTGATTGGCTTTCCTTTGAATGTTATCTGTTTCTTCACTCTTGTCAGCTTCATTATTTTTTCCTTGTCCTGGATTCTTGGGAGCTTTACTATTATGTGTCTTGTTGTATTTTTCCTTTTGTCGTGGAAGTTTGGTGTTCTTCTTGCTTCTTGTATATCAATTTTCAGCTCCTTGTTCACATTTGGGAAGTTCTCTTCAATTATCTCCTTGAATATTTTCTCTGTTCCTACATCTCTCTCCTCTCCTTCTGGTAGTCCTCTAACTCTTATATTTCCTTTCCTCATGGAGTCAGATAGTTCCCAAAGTCTTCTTTTGTCTTTTTCCTTCGTACTTCTCTTTTCTTTTCTGTTTTGGTTCTTTTTATTTCTGTGTCTTCAAGAGTACTTATTCATTCTTCCATTTCATCTATTCTGCTTTCATTGCTTTTCCCAGAGTTCTTTAGTGCCTCCATTAATTCTTTGATCTCCTGCATTTCTTTTGCTTCCCTCTTTAGGGACTCAATTTCATTCTTCTGATCGTTGATTATTTTTCCCATATCATTGTTTTCCTTTATGAGTTCTGTCACTTTTTTAATCATGGCAATTTTAAATTCTCTTTCTGGAAGGCTCAGAAGTTCTTCCAAGTTACTGTCGTTGCAATCTGGGGGGGTGGTTTTCTTTTTGTGGTGTGCTTTTTTCCTGAGGAGTTGCTAGGTTGTGTGTGGTTCTTCTACTCCCTACTGCCTGTTTTCTAATTTGTTGTATGCATTAGGACACTGTGTTGCTGGGACTGGCCGGCATCTTGGGTGAGCTTCTCTGCTCCCCTCTGGCTCCTCCGGGAGCCATCTGTCGGTTTCAAGCAGTCTTTACTGAAGAAAGGTCCCTGTTCTAAAATGCCGATGTGGGGACCTACTCCCCTGTGCGCCTGGTCTGCCCTGGCGGTGGGTTCCCGCTCCCCCTCTGGGCTTGGACTGCAGGCCAGAAGGGGCCTGGCATGGGCGAACTTCCCCGCTCACCTCTGGCTCCTGAGGGAGCCTTCTGCTGGTTTCAGGCAGTCTTTACTGAAGAAATGTCCCTGTTCTAAAATGGCGATGCGGGACGCACTCCCTGCGCGTCCGGTCTCAGGCACACTCTTCTGCGCGCCCAGTATGCCCCAGCCGTGGGTGTCCTCTCCCCCTGTGGGCTCAGACTGCTGGTTGGAAGGGGCCTGGCGTGGGCTAACTTCCCAGCTCACCACTGGCTCCTCCGGGAGCCTTCTGCTGGTTTTAAGCAGTCTTTACTGAAGAAAGGTCCCTGTTCTATGGGGTGTTAGTGACTTTTTTTCTGGTCGCTAGGTGGCGCCAGAGATCTCTCCTAGTGTCCTTGGGGAGCTGTTTTTTTCACCCCGTGGGACAGGAAACAGAGTGGGAATGGTAGGGAAAACCTCAACGGCTTTGGGGTGCTGTGTCTGCCTTGTGCCCCACCATCATGGGGAACCCACGCCCCGAATTTCGTGTCCCGGGTCTCAGTTCCAAAGCCCTCAGGTCCAGGACGCGGGCTGTAGCCCAGTTCAGTGTCCGCAGAAATGGCGCCTTTTGCACCCCGCTCCCGTGTCTGGGCGCCTGGTTTCTGATTACTCAGTGAGGGACTTTCACCTCAGTGAGGGCCCCCGTGCGTCTCCCTGCAAGCCTAAGTCGCAGGCGTGGGTAACTGGGCAGCCACGATCCGCGTTTGCTTTTCAAGCGCGCCGCTTTTCCGCGCAAGCTTACACGCTGGCCCGGGGTTGTGTGCAGGTCTCCGGGAGTCTCTGTTTTTCTCTAATGGCTCCTGGAGCCATTTGCTCACCTCCGTGGCAAATCCTGCAGGGTTCTCCACAGCTCCAGTTCACGGTGTGTGGTGGCTGAAATAGTTCCTTTCCACTCACAGTTCTGCTTGATGCGTAGTTTGTTCTTGTTGGTTGTTTTAGTTTGTTTTTTCTTCCTTTCTGTTGGTCGGAGAGTGCCGACTTTGTGGGTGGGGGAGGGTAGCAGGGTTCTGAGCTTTCCTCCCTTCTAGTCCTCTTTTATGGCAACTTTCTTCTTCGGGTAGTTTGCTGGAGTCGTCCATTTATCTTCCGTGTCCCAGTTCTCACTGGGACCTGTCGCTTTTCCTCCCTATTAACTTTTTTTTAATGGGAGATCTTACTCGCAGCATTTCCTCACCGCCATGTTGATCCGCCCACCACCAATCAAATTATACATAACATTTTGAATGTGAAGGATGTGTGTGCTCAATACTACAATTGTGTGAAAGCTACAGAAGTAATTCTCATTTATACATGCTCTTGAAATATAGCAAACCAGGAGAAATAAAGGGAACTGCCCAGTTGGAGAATTTTTGCTTGTGCACTTACGAATACAGGACACAGAAATAAAAAGGATTTGTTTACATACTAAAGGAAGAGGCTAAATGGAGAGAATTTATAAGCTGGCACATCTCCTACCCCAGAGAGCACCCATTGAGCAGACACTGAGGTCTAAGCTAAAGCCGCATGAGCAAGCTGGTGACTTCTCCAAAGACGCCCCTCCAAAGACACCAGCAGTTTAACTGTCCAAAAGACCCAGCTCTACCCCATTTGCTCAGCAGCCCTCACTTGAGGTGGAGTCTGGAAAGCAACACCTTCTACCATTGACTTGACATCGTGCAGTAGAATCTAGAAAGCTCCACTTTCTACCACTGAGCTGGTTGGGAGCGCCACCCACTGGCTTGGAGGTTGTTCCTCACTGCCATCTTATATCCTGGCAAACAGAAGAAGAGTGGTGTATCACACTTCCAGGCAAATCTATAGTAATCAAAACACTATGATAATGGACCAAAAACACATGTAGATAATGGAGTAGAATTGAGAACTGAGAAATAAACCAACATTTATATGGACCGTTAATCGATGACAAAGAAGCCAAGACTATCCATTGGAGAAAGGAAAGCCTCTTCAATAAATGCTGTTGGGAAAACTGGAGAGGTACATGCCGAAGAATGAAACTATCTCACACCAGACACAAAAATTAATGCAAAATGGATAAAAGTCTTGACTGTAAGACCCCAAATCATAAAATACTTGGGAAAAAATCATCATCAAAACACAGGCACCAGTGATGTCTTTGTGTGTTTGTCTCCAACGGCAAGAGAAACAAAAGATACTATAAACAACTGGGACTCTGTCAAACTAAAAAGTTTCTGCACACTAAAACAAAAAGACACCTTACTGAATGGGAGAAAATATTGATATTTGCACACCATACATTTGACCAGGGGCTAATTGCAAAGAGCTACAATAAACTCATACAATTCAGCTATAAGAAAATAACCCAGGTGCCTCCCTGGTGGTGCAGGTAGTTAAGTGTGACGCTGTGAAGCTGTCTGCAGCCTCTGCAGTGCCAGTTCAATCCTCACCGGCCATGGAGCAACCCACATGGCACGGCAGACCTCTCCTGTCTCACCCACTGCTCTCCTTAGCAGTGTATCTCAGTCAGTTTGCCTGTTCTGTTCCCCACTCTGTCTGTGGTGAATCCTCTCACCCTCCCACACATCTGGCCTGTACCCCAGTTCTTGTAGAAATAAATCTTTAAAAAAAAAAAAGAAAACAACACAATCAAAAACATGGGCAGAAGAGCCAAATATGCACTTCTTGAAAGAAGTTACACAGATGGCCAACAGGCACATGAAAATGTTCATTATCATTTATCAGGGAAATGCAAATCAAAATCAAAAACACACACACAAAAAAGCCCAGTAACAAATGTTGAGGAGGAGGTGGTGAAAAAAAATGAAACTTCCTAAAACTATTAGGTTTAGTCTGATCCAGTCCCTATGAAAACGGTATGGCAATAACTCAAAATCTTAAAAATGGATCTACCATATGATCCAGAAATTCTACTTTTATATAGCTACCAAAAGAATACAAAAATGCTGATTTGAAGGGATACATCCATTCCTTTGTTCATTGCAGTACAATTTACACTAGCCAAGTTATAGAAACAACCAAAGTGCCCAAACACAGATAGACTAGGAAGATGTGGTCTATACACATGGAATATTACTCAGCTATTAAAAAGATAAAATATTGCAATTTGTAACAACACAAATAGAAATGGAAGGGATTAATCTAAATGAAATAAATCAGAAGGGGAAAGATAAATATGGTTTCACTCATATGAGGACTATAGAGAAGAAAAATGAAGTGTAAGATAAAACCAAATCAGTAACAAACTGTAGAATCTGACAGAATTGAGGCTACCTGAGGGAGAGGGGTAGGGCACATAACTGACTGTGATGGTGGATTCTTGCTGCCTTGGTGGTGGCTGTGGTGTGGCAACAATGCATCCTATGCCTCTGGATAACATACAAGGTTGTCAATCAATGTTACCCCATTAAAATAAACAAACAAACTTCACACTAGCAAGGGGTAAAATGAGGGTATAAGAAAGATTACAGAAATAGACACTTACCCCTTTAGCCTTAAGGGGCTGGAGGTGCAAGGTGGTGATTCCCACTGCAGTGGTCTTAACTAGTCATTCCAGTGTGACATTTTTTCATACTCTGTGCCAGGTTGTGAAAAAGTTTGGGAAACTCCATGTTGTAGCATGGGATCTAGTCAAAAGAAAAATATGTTGACCCCACATTAAGAACAGGGAGAAGCTCTATACTTTCTTTGATGCCCAGTAATATATCTGCTACCTCCGATTTAAATCAGGTTTGGCCGATGACATCTCTCTGACATGATCTGGCTTTCAGGAGAGCTGGCCCTGCCAGGTGCTGCCACTGATAGGGGCAATCTGTTCAGACCAATTCCGCAGCTGGTGAACTTCACAAACTCTGCAGCTCTTTTTCCTCCTGACTAGCACTCAGCATATAGCACCTCTTCAAGTCTGCCTAAGACTTTAAACACATGACCTCGTGAAATAAAACTTATTTTTTAAACTGAAGCTTATGTGAGCTTGGTTTTCCAAATATAAAACCCCACAACGTCTATAGTCTCTAAAAGCCAGTGGGATCTTTTGCCATCTTGATTTCTGTCCTGGTAAATTAATACATTTTGGCATTTAATACATTTGGCAATTAATACCTTTGGGCTTAAGAAAGTCTGTTTTTTCACAATTGAACCAGTAAAGAATTACTCTGTAAAACTACCCAGACTCAGTGCCTTTAAGTGCTGGTTCTTTCAATTTTTTAAGGAATACTATTCCACGTTTCTCTTCTGTGTCGGCTTATTCACGTTTTGGAGACATTCCTGAGACTATAATAAAAGCTAATCCTCCTAATGCCTCTTGGGTACCCTTTGTTTCACAGCGCAAGTGTTCATCCAATTCTGAGAACCTGAATACCCAGTTTTCAGGTAAGAAAACAGAGGCTCCCAAGTGCTTAGAGAGCCCAGTGACACCTCACTAAGAAGAAAAAATACACATTGGGGCAGAACCCCGGCCCATCAGTCTGTAGTTGGCAAGAATGCCAATATCCAGGACTTACAGGGTCCTGCCAAGTTGTGGGGGCCCATGGGTGAGAAAATGGGCAGGAGCCTTTCGAGAACAGGAGGTGCGTGCAAATGTTGCCAGCAGGCCCTGAAGACCCGAGGATCAGTGGCTGCCCAGGAATCTTCCTTACCCCAAAGCCTGGAGTGGACGTGAGCCAGGAGGGCGGAAGAGCAATGGCATCCCGGCATCAATGCGAGCAGGGCCACCCCGGGCCCAGGGCGGGGGAGTGGGCGGGGCGTGAGTCACGTGGTGATCTCCCAGCAGGCTCTGCGCGCCCCGCCCAGCTCGCCCCGCGCGCCCGGGCTTGCCCGCGGTGCGACACCTCAGGCGGTTGGCCAGGCCGTTGGCCTCTCTCGAGCTTTCTGGAAGCCTCGAGGCGGGCGGTGGGAGTTGGGCGGCGGAGCGAGGTGCGGACACTGGGCGCGCCCGTGGCGGCGTCCGACTTGGAGGGCCGAGCGCGTCGCCTGGGGCGCATGGCGGGGCCGGCCGGAGCAGGCCGCGCGAGGGTGGCGCCAGCCTCAGGCTGGCCTGGCGGCGGCGGCCCCGGGCGCCTGGAGACCGGCCTTGCCCCAAAGTGTTTTCCGTGCAGCCCCGGGAAGACCAGAAACGGGGTGCCGCTTCCCAGGCCGAGTTCGCCGGATGGGCGCGGCGGCGCGGGGAAGATGCTCAAAGTCCTGGTGCTGAAGGTGAGCGAGCGAAGCGCAGCCCGCCGAGGGGATGCGGCCCTGTGGGGTGACCCCGGCCCGCACTCCCGATAGGCGGCGTGAAATTTGAGTTCAAGCGTGCTGCACACTCCCTTGGGGATATAGTTAGCGTGCAAAGTTACGCGTTTCTCCAAAATTAAGATTTAGGTGGGTGTCCTGTATCTGTTTACTGACTGCGGCACCTTCGGGTGAAGGACGTAGAGCAGCCCTCGCATGCACCCGGACTGGGTTGGCGCTCGGTGAAGGCGCCCTCGTGCCCCTGGTCCCGTGATTATGGGCGCCGTGACCTGTGATCTGGTCCCCTTCCCCTATGTGTGTCCTCTCGCCAGGGCCCCTTGGGGTTCCTGCCCTTAAACTGGGGGTGGGGAGAACCTCTATCTACCCCTCCTGGTCCTGTATGTTCTGATGTTCCAGCAGCTCCCTGGCGGACCCCTGCCCGACCCTGGTGGTCTCTCTTCAGGGCCTGGAATCAGAGATGGGGCGCACAGTAGGGTTTCGCTCCCAGGGGCCTGAAGAGAGCCCCAAATCAGCTGATGTTTCATCTTTGAGTCAGGTGAGGACTTGTTGGCCATGTAGGCGGTAGGGAAGGCAGTGGGTGGCCACCATGTTACTTGGAGGAAGGAGTTTATAAACCTTCCAGAAATTTCCATTACTGGGCAAAGAAAATAGAAATCACTGTTTAGAAAATCATGCAGAAGTGGGCAGAGGAGAGAGCTGTAGCCAATGAAGGAATTTTTTAAAGTCATCAACTTTCCTGCTCCTGTTTTATGTGAACAGAGATGCACACAGCTGCCTCTTGCAGGGGATTGGCTTGGGGACTTTTAGGGGTTTAAAATCCAACTGGCAAGCTCTTCAGCCAGGCAAGGAAGAGACAGGCTCATTCTAGATCCTGCCAGATGCAAGCCCTGCTGGGCAGAACAGGCCTGAGGAGTTGGATTCTCACCCCTTGAGGTTGGGAATCCCCCTGTTTTCACTGGGACTCGAAACCCACTGAAACCCCTTCTCTGCACTGGGGGGTCTGCCCCCACTTCTGACCCTTATTACTCTTCTCACACCCAGCAAATTTTCTGTCCAATATAGGAGCATTTCCTCAAGTGTGGTACAGTTACCAGTTGTAGTTTTCCAGATTAATTAAGTTTTTATGTGGAAGAAGTTTCCCCCCAAGTGTCCATCAGTAGATGAATGGATAAACAAAATGTGTTATATCTGTAAAATGGAATATTAGTCTTAAAGAGGAAATTCTGACTCATGCTACAATATGGACAAAACTTGAGGGCATAATATGTGCAGTAAGTCAGATACAGAAGGATTAATATTGCGTGATTCCACTCATGTGAGATACCTTCAGAAGTCAGATTCATAGACAGAATGAAATGGTGTTTTCCAGAGACTGAGGGGATGAGGAATGATCTAATGAGTGTAGAGTTTTGAATTTTGTTAAGATGAATAACACTTTGGAGCTGGATGGTGGTGATGGTCTAAGAGCCCTCTCTTGCTCTTGGTTCTGGGAAGATACCAGGGGCCCCTAGCTGCGTGGCATTAGCCTGGGCTATGCCACGGTTTGATGGCCCACCCTGGTGCGGCTGGGTTTGGGTTTTAGGAAGAAAACACACAGTTTTGAAGACGTGTGGGTCAGACTTTAACCTGGCTAGTGCCATTCAGATACAGCCGGGCTTGCCTGCCCAGCTCGGTGTAGGGCAGGGTAGACATGCTGGTGCAGTTTTGAATCCTGAGCTAGTTTGTTTTTTTATGCATACAAGAACTGGGGTGTAAGCCAGAGTTGCGGGGGATGAGAGGATTCACCAGAGACAGAGGGGGAGCAGAACAGGCAGATTGATTGAAATACACTGCTGAGGGGAGCAGCGGGTGAGGCAGAAGAGGTCTGCTGCGCCATGTGGAAAGCTCCCTGGCTGGACTGGGCCTCAAACTCATGCTGCAGTGGTTGGCAATAACTTGATAGTGATGTCTTTAACCCCTGCACCACCAGGGAGGCCCCCGAAATAGTTTTGAAAACAGACCAGGTCTGAGCTCCCACTGGCACCTGTCAGGTTCAAAGCCTGCACCATATCAATCAAGTCTTGGAAATAACTGGTTTGGAAAATGGACCCATCAGGTTTGAAAGGTGGGTATCCATGGGGGTTGGGGGGGGGGAGCTTATAAGCACAGGTTTCAGAGACTAGGAGACTTGCCTTCAGAGAGGCTTCAGTCGATTTGGAAAAAGCTTTAGGGAAACTATTCCAGAGAGGTTTCAGGAAGTTTCATGGGGAAACCTGGCTTGAGTCTCACCTGAGAAGAACCTGACACAGCCCCTTGCAGACTTTTGAGACCCCCTCTTCAGTGCATTCATTAGGAGTGTCCCTGGCCTATGCCCGACATCTCTAAAGAGCTATCAACACTGGTGCCATGGTCCTATGACATAGCCACTGAGAGCTGTGTGGTCTGGCATCTGCCACTGCCCAGCTGCTCCTCATTGCTGCAGTGATGCTGCAGTGCCACCTGTGACTACCTCCATCTGCCACAGATTAGTTGGATCCTGGCTCACCGCTTACCAGGGTACCACCAGTTCCAGGTTCTGATTGGAGTACAACACCATCTTGCACAAGCAACTTTTAGTTTATATGACTGGGCGCTCTCTGGGGTAGTACAGATGGTCACTTGTGACCTTAAGGAACTCTTTGCTTATTTCAAGCGACCTTTGTAAATAAACCCTGTTGTCGCAGCCTGAAATTGTGCCATGTCAAGACGTAGAAATAAAAACATAAGTAGCATTACAGACTTGTTAGGATGAGACAAATGACTTAAAATATATCTTAAGAAAGCAGCCCAGAAACCATACAGTTGTGTCTGAAAAGAGCAAGACAGAGTGTAGTGAGACCCGAATGAGAGTCGTGTAAGGGCTTGTTCTTTGGGGAGGCACAGGTGAGAAACATTAGTCATGCTGTCCTTGGTCAGAAAAGTGATTGCCACTGAAGCAAGCCCAGGGCCTTGGTTTCTATAGTCAAGCCATGTTTAGTTGACAGCACTATTTACGTTTCAGAACAGCTTAGACAATGGGCCCTTGAAGTGGACAGCTTGTACCAGTGTTGTCATAAAAATGGAATTGTGTGTATAGAATCATACCGTAGTGTATAGCCTTTGAGTCTGGCTTCTTTGACTTAGTATGATGAATTTGACACCCATACTGGTCCAAGTGTTCGTTGCTTATTGTATTCTATTGGAAGGACATGCCACAATTTGTTTATATAGTTATTAATTGAAGGCCATTTGAGTTGTTTGCAGTTTGGGGGGATTGTAAAATAGACTGCTGTAAACTTATGTGAAAACAAGTTTTCATTGCATGGGTCATAACTAGGTTGGGATTACCTGTATGCTTAACTTCATCAGAAACTGTTTTGCGTTCCTATCAGCAGTGCATAAGAGTTGCTGTGCATCCTCATAGCACTTGTCATTACCAGTTTTATAAATTTTAGCCATTCTGTAGGTGTTTCATGGTATTATGGTTTTAATATGCATTCCCTAATGACAATTCATGTGTTAATTATCTTTTCACTGCTTGTTTACCATCTCTCTAGCTTTTTTGTCAAGTATCTATTTCAGTTTGCCCATTTTTCTAATTAGGTGGTTGGTTTGCTTGAGTTTTAATTTGAGTCCTTTATATATTCTGGATAAAGCTTTTTATTAATAATGTGATTTGCAAATATTTTCCCAATTTCATTTGACTGTTTTTCAAAGAACAGTTTTAAATTTGGATGAAAGTCATTTTATCAGTTTTTGTTGTACACGCTATACTTTTTTTTTTTTTTAAAGATTTATTTATTTATACAAGCACTGGGTACAGTCAGAAGCTCGGGAGGATAAGAGAATCCACCAGAGCCAGAGCAGGGAGCAGAACAGGCAGATTGACGAAATACACTGCTGAGGGGAGCAGTGGGCACGGCAGGAGAGGTCTCCGTGCCATGTGGGACCCTCGCCATTGGCCATGGATCAAACCAGCACTGCAGAGGCTGCGGGCAGCTTCACGCCACCAGGGAGGCCCTACACAGTATACTTTTTTTTAAAGATTTATTTTATTTATGCATACACTAACTGGGGTGTAGGCCAGAGATGTGGGGGGGGGTGAGAGGATTCAACAGAGATAGAGTGGGGAGCAGAACAGGCAGATCTACTAAAAAACACTGCTGAGGGGAGCAGCAGGTGAGACAGGAGAAGTCTGCTGCGCTATGTGGATCAGCTCCCTAGCTGGGAATTGAACTAACGCCACAGTGGTTGGCAATAGCTTGATAGCACTGAGACTTTTAACTCCTGTGTCACCAGGGAGGCCCTACAATATATACTTTTGATGTTGTATGTAAAAAATCTTTGTTTACCCTGCAGTGACGAAGTTTTTCCCTATGTATTCTCTTAAGAATTTTATAGTTTTATATTTTGCATTCGGGTATATGATCTGAGTTTTTTCCCGCATAAAATATTTTAATTTATTAATCCTCATGAAACACATATACAGTGGCCACAGAAAAAGTCACTGCAGAATCTTTACTCTTTTTTCCCCCAGTACCACTCAGGCCTTTGCAGTCCTCCTGGCTTTATCCTTGTTCTAGTGTTCCTTTTGCTGTCGGGTTGTTTTTTGTTTTTGTTTTTGTTTTATGAGTTATTTATTTTTTTCACACAGACTCTATCCTGAAAATCTGTGTTTGGGTTCATCTTTCTTTGTGTCATCCAGGGTTTCATAAATCATGCCCAAATCAGTAGTCTTGAAACGGGCAATCAGGGAGGGAGGCCAGGTGGTAGGATGGAATGGCCTATGCACCTGCCCAGGCTCTGAGACAAGAGCGCCACCAAAAGGCTGAAAACCAAAAGCAAGGACGATAGCAAGACAATACCCACACAGTAGGGGCCTGTGGGCTATGGCCAAACAAAGGACAGTGCCTAATAAGAGGACAGGTCTCTGTGGGTTCTTACCCACACGCCCAATTGCAGGCTCCAGGAACACAAACTATGGGGTTTATCTTACAAACCGGAAACAAAACAAAAAGCTTACTGTAGTCACTGGTGGCTGGTTGTCTCACCCAGATAGTGTCAGTGATGGTTGCTGCCAGTCACCAGGAGTGCCCGACAGCGCTGGCCAGTAATGATGGTCATGACTGATCCCCCAGAGGCTATGTCAGAGACACCAAGTGTTGACAGCTCTATGTGAGTTGTTGGGCTACACCAACAACAAACAGCTCTTTGAAACACCAGGCCTAGGGCCTTTGATGCTCTTTTCAGGTGATGGCAAGACCAGAGGCCTCTCTGCAGAGGTCTTCAGCTTCTCTTCCCTCCTTGGAGGTCAGCTGCCGGATGCTGCTTCTTTCTTTGGAAGCCAGGAATAGAGTCTTCCCCTTCTTTCTTCAGGGGCTGGAACCGCCCGTCTTTCAGCTACCACCCACCCAGACTTATATCCTCTTTCAGGATGCCCCACCCACAAGTCTGATTGGACCATTTTTCAATCCTGTGGCTGATTGGACCATTTAGCACCAGTCATCTCATAGCTTGCACCTGATTGGTCCATTACATGATCCAGGAAGTACGCAGTTAGATAAAAGAACTCTGAGAAGCAACTACAACAACAGACAAAAATGGCAGTTGCTGGGCTCTGAGGAGCAACTGCCACAACTGACTTCTGGTGGAGCAGCAAGGTGAGAGAACGCTGCTGCTGGCTCCTACCACTGAAGCGGCTGGGTCCTGGTAACAGTCTTGCCACCTCGAAAATGGGTTCTGAATCCAAATACAGAGATGACATCTGGGTCATCTTGTGCATAGTAGTTTTTCCTGAACTTCTGTCTTGGTACTGTTGCCTTCCCAGTTTTCTTTCCACTGAAGTAGTGGATCATGAACTCATTGGTCCAGGTGGTTACTGTTTGTTTTTTTTTTTTTTTTTTTTTTTTTTTTGCATAAGGATATCTAATTTTTCCAGCATCATTTGTTGGGGCGGGGAGGGGGGAGGTGCTATTCTTTTCCTGTTGAATTGCCTCCACACCTTTATTGGGAAATCAGTAGACCATATATGTGTAGGTTTGTGTCTGCCCTATTGATTTATGTAACTCTGCTTTCTGTAGTGCCACAGTTTCCTGATTACTGCAGCTTTATAGTAAATCTTGAAATCAGGTGGTGTCATTCCTCTATCTGTGTTATTCTTTTTCAGAATTATTTTGGATATTCTAATTCCTTTCAGTTTCTAGTATAAAATTCATAATTTGTTGATTTCTGTGAAATGACTTCCTGGAATTGAGTTGTATTTATAGATCACTTTTGGGGAAATCCACATCTTAACCATGCATGGACACAGTATATCTGCACTAAAGGTCATCTTTTTTTCTTTTTTATCAGCATTATGTACTTTCAGCATACAGATCTTGCATATATTTTATTAAACTTATTCCTAAGTAATCCCCCTTTTTCATGCTGTTGCCAATGGAATTTTGTTACCCGTTGAAATTTCCAAATTTCATTGCTGGAATATAGAATTACAGTTAAGTTTATTGTATGATCTCCAACCTTGCTAAAGTCATTAATTCTAGCATATTTTTCTGGAATCTTTAGGATTCTCTGTGTGGATAATCATGCTATTTGTGAAAAGAGGCAATTGTTTTTCTTCTTGACAATCTTTTTGTTTTCTGACTGTGCTGACGAGGACCTTTCCAGTACAGTGTTTCATAGGAGTCATAGGAGTAGGGAGCACACCACTAGTAAATTTTTCATTTTGTGTATTTTACTTTTCAGTTCTGGAATTTATCTTTTTTCATAGTTTTTTTTTTTTAAATAATATCCATTCCTAGTATGAGATTCTCCTTTAAAAATAAAAAACAAACAAAAACTTACTTTAACTATCTGCTCTTTGCTTGTTCTTTCCAACATCTAGTTAATTTTGAATTCATTTCCTGTTGACTATTTTAATCTTTGACCATATATCACACATCTGCTCAGCCACAAGCCTAGTAATGGCCTATGTAGTGCTGGGTGGTGTGGTCATGGTGAATGTGTTGACTTGCAGTGTGGTAGCAGGATGCCCAGCCTGCAGTTGGTAGGCATGGCTACACTGTCTGCATGCACCTGTTTGCTTCTGTCCTCAGTGATAGAGTATGTCCTCTCTGTCATGCAGGCATGGTCTCTGATTCCCAGGGAAGGCACTACGAAGATGCGGAGGTTCTTACTCAGCCTCTTTCACCTGACAGGTCTTGTATTCCAAACTCGGGCTTCCTGTGATGAGTGTCAAAAGTAAATAAAGCTGGACATTAGTTACAACAGTGAAAAAAGATTTTGTCCAGGAACTGCTGACAGCAGAGGCAGGAGCTGAGCTCCATTCCAATTTGTGTATAGGGGACTGGGTGTGTTGTTACAAGAGAATAAGGGAGAGGAGGTGAGAGACACTGGTGAACAATTACAAAGGTTGTTGGGCAGTGTAAACATGGACCGGACAGCTGTGTCTAAGTGGCCATTATTGCATTAGGCTTCTCTCTTCCACAGAGACCAGGAGATGGAGCCCTGGCCTTCCTGATTATTTCATTTTGAAGAAGTGCCTTTCCATTTGAAAAAGACATCATCCTGAGTAGTAGGAAATACAGCTACATCTCATAAGGGACAGGAACAGCTCACATTTGTATGCCCTTTGTAGTAAATTCCCTTAAATTGGTCAAGGACCAATGTCAGGTGTTGAATAAACCATAAACCCTCCTGGCAGCCTTGCGCTTTGTCAGGTGAGGCATTTTAGAAGGACTGGGTTCATGGTAGGGAATTGGCTTCCTGCTGCTGGGAGCTGTGCTAGAGTTTGGAGGCCTTCTAGTGCAGAGGTTTGGGGTGTCCTTTCCTGCCAAGAGTCCTGCAGTTCTCACAGGCAGCAGCTAAAGGGGGGTTTTTGTTTTGTTTTTTCTTTTAATCTTCCAATTGTTGCTTTTCTCTGAACTCCTTGGTGTCTCACCTCTGCAATTCACAGTCTGCCATGGTTTTGAGATGTTTTCATATGCAGACTTGAGGGCCTCTCCTCTGCGGCTCCTTCAGAATTTTTCCTTTTAATTTTCAGCTGCTCTGGCAGTTGCAGTTCCAAACTCAAGCGGCAACCATCATGGCTTTCTGCTTGTGTTATGCTCACTCCATGCCACCTGGACTGTGTGGGAGTATCCCAGTGATGTTTCCTGCAGGAACTGACTTACCTCTAGTTTTTGCTAGCTTTTGGTATCTCTTCAGTACCTTAAAATCATCATTTTGCATATTTTCCAGAATCTCTTTTTGCTACCTGCAGGTGGGCTAGTTCTTATAAACTACTCTTGTCATGACTGGAACAAGAATGACCAGATTTTCTTTTTCCAGCTATTTGTTATAAAAATGTTTGAACATTCAGAAAAATGGTCTACTAATGCAAATGTCTGTATTTCTGCCCGCTGGTGTCTAGAATCCAAAATCTTGCCCATCAGGTGGCAGAATTAGGAAGTAAATACCTTTGAAAAATCATGAGTTCCCTTTGATATTTTATTTAAGATTTATTTACTCATGTATATTAGAACTGGGGTACAGGCCAGATGTACAGGAGGGTGAGAGGATTCACTAGAGACAGAGTGGGGAACAGAACAGGCAGACCGACTGAAATACACTGCTGAGGGGACCAGCGGGCGAGACAGGAGAAGTCTGCTGTGCCATGTGGGTAGCTCCCTGACTGGCTGGGATTGAACCCGGGCTGCAGAGACTGCAGACAGCTTCACAGCATTGCGTTCAACCACCTGTGCCACCAGGGGAGGTCCCCCATTGATATTTTTGACTCACCTCTTCACTTTGTATGTTTTCTGTAGCAATAAAAACATAAAAAAATCTTGATTTCTATTAACATTAATAGACCATAAAATACATTCAGAGTAGTTCAGCTTTCATTCCTGTTACTTTTACCCCATTTCTGGTTTCCCCTGTAGATAATAATTTGCATTTGTTTTTGCTTATCTGCCATCAATATGAGCAGAATGTACACATTCATACCTGTTTTCTTAGAAGACACAGAATACTGAAAACATTGTGAACTTGGCTTTGTATCTCATTAGGAATATTTTCAAAATACAGGAGTTTACAGGCATTGATTTCTGTTTGCTGTTTGTGTTGCACCACATAATTACAAATTACACATTATTGGTTACATATTTTAGAATTTTATCTTTGTTTTTTTTCCCTCCAGGTTTTGTGAGATATAATTCACAATATTGTGTAAGTTCAGGGAATACAATATATATTGAAAGTCTACTTTCGTTTATCTTTGGTCTGATCATTTGTGACAGAGGTGCTTGTCCAGATTTTGTTAGATCACTTAAATTAGGAACAGTTATTATGAGTCTAAGATTTATTTTATAGTTTTATTTTTAAATCATTTGTTATTTTGTCTTTTAAAATTTTTACAGATTGAAGATCCAGGTTGCTTCTGGGTTATCATAAAAGGATGCAGTACCTTTTTAGATCATGAAGTTGACTATCAAAAGCTGAATAGTGCTATGAATGACTTCTATAATAGCATGTGTCAAGATATAGAAATAAAACCATTAATGTTGGAAGAAGGGCAGGTATGTATCTAAATGTGCTTTTAAGTAAGTGTCTTGAAATGCTACTCAAAATGTAGAGTATTTTGGCAACTAAGATGATAACAAAACGTTTAGAGTATTTTAATTGCTTATAACTGTTGCTTTGGGTTAGGTTCTTTTTAGCTGTACAAGACTCAAGTAGTAGTTGGATAGGCTTCATACGGAGCAATGGGGGTGGGGTGTCACCTAAATTCAAACATTGGGGTCATCCTTCTGGAGCTAGGAACCAAAGAGTTATTTTAGATCTATCAAAGGTGTAAGGACCTCAGTGAAGAGGGCAGGGGGATTTCATTCTAGCATATGCTTCCCTTTTGGTTGCTCATGACTTTGGCCAAGTCATGCTGCTTTATTTTCCTTCACGTTATGGCCCCTCCTTTTCTTGCAGCCTTAGCTCCCTGCCCATTGTCTGTACAGTCATTTTTCAGAAGAGTTTGAATTTTTGTACCAGTGTTGTTAGTGGACAAAGGGTCTAAAAACTGTCACTAGGTCAGAACCACTCCCCAGGTCTGAGTCTGGCCTCCTGCTCCCCCAAATGCAAACAAAAGGGTCTTTGGTGCAACAAAAACAACAAAAATTTATTCTAACCTAGAGGGTAGGAGGAGAGGGAGAATGAACAGGATAGAGGGAGAGGGAAGAGGTCCAGTTACTGACTATTGGTGTGAGGTGGAGATGCAGCTGCAGGAGCTGGCAGGGTGCAGCACAGCTGTGCTGCATAAGTCAGGGGCTCCCCTGCCCTAGGATTGGGGGTTCTGCCTTCACAGCAGCTCTGATAGAAGAGCTTTGATGGAAGAGAGCTCACCCGGGTCATCAGGGGCAGCGTTCAGATCACAGCACCCCACAGGCCTGAATTTTGTCCTGGTGCCAGGGGGTGGAGCTGGTCTACTCAGCGGAATGATAGAATAGGTTTATAAACTTTTTTTTTTTAAAAGATTTATTTATTTATACAAGCACTGGGTACAGTCAGAAGTGCGGGAGGGTGAGACAATTCACCAGAACCAGAGCGGGCAGCAGAACAGGCAGACTGACAAAGTACAGTCTGTGGGGAGCTGAGGGGAGCAGCACGCGCGGCAGGAGAGGTCTGCCCACCATGTGGGACCCTCGCTGATGATTGAACCGGCGCTGCAGAGGCTGCGGGCAGCTTCGCAGCCCAGAGCTCAACTGCTACACCACCAGGGAGGCCCAGGTTTATAAACTCTTTATGAGGAAAATTAGAAATAATTTAAATCCCTGCCCCCCATAATCATTAATAACCTAGACTATTCTTTTTTCAATATCATTGGCTTAAGGAGAGAAAAAAACAGGTCAGTTGTCCTTTTAAAATAGTTCATACTTTGCATGGCCTGATTGCTTCCTTGTGATGGCAGTGACCTTTCTTCTCTGCTCCTTGTATTTTCTGTAGATTGATAGTTAAATACAAAACTTTGATTAGCTTTAAGGTTACTTTTCCTCAAAATGGTTCTTGCTGGAATTTCTTGTATTGAACTGGGAGATAGTATCACTTCTGTGGTGCTGAGATTGTCTGGTGGGTTCCTGTGGGGCGCTTGACCCGCCCTGTGGTGTTCTCTGTCAGCTTTTCACGTTTTGGTTTCACGATCCAGGGACCTCCTCTGCCAAAATCTCTTTCATTTAAGCTTGAAAATCATCTTTTTTTTGGTATTCATTGTGTATTCGTGAGCTGGAATTCTGTAGAGAGCTTTCCCTCAGCTGTTGGGACTGTTCCGTTACCCTGAAAAAATACAGTTCTTATTGGAAAAGTAGAAAAATTATTTGATTCTTTCCCTTATCAGTTTTTGGCTCAGTGATTTTGTGCCTTGCTACCTAGTGAACAGAGGCTTATTTTTTCTTTCCTTTTTTTAGGTACTGTATTGAATTAATGGCTTTTAATGTATTCATAATTGTAATCATTGTTTTTCTTGAAGCTTTCATTGTCCCATATTTGGCTGGTAGATGCTCTAGTATAACCAGACTTCAAAGCTGTTCACACCATTCATCTAGCTTGACTTAAGCATTTAAGAGAAATACTCTCTACCCTTTGGCAGTATTTCTCTTGAATGGCTGCCCTGTGTTTTCCATCTTCAGTTCTCCAGTGGCCTCTTCTTCCCTCTTGGACACAACTGTTCCGTCTGGGCGCTTTTGTGCTCGGCATATGGCCCGCCTGTGTGAGTTGCATTCAACTTGTCAGTGCCCTCTGAGGCCATCAAGATGCCAAGTGCTGGGCTTCCCTGGTGGTGCAAGGGGTTAAGACACAACCTGTGAAGCTCACCGCAGCCACTGCAGCACAAGTTTGATCCCCGGCCAGGGAGGTGACCCACATAGCGCAGCGGACCTCTCCTGACTCGCCGACTGCTCCCCTCAGCAGTGTATTTCAATCAGTCTGCCTGTTCTGTTCCTCGCTCTGTCTCTGGTGAATCTTCTTACCCCTTCTGGCCTGTACCCCAGTACTTGTATGTATAAATAAATAAATCTTTAAAAAAAAAAAAAGATGCCAAGTCCTGTCACTTCAGGTAATTCTCCTAAAAGGGGCTGCAGACATTTATTTAGTCAGTCATTTCACCAAGTAGTTTTTGAAGATTTATCATGTGTCAAGGACTGTTCTAGGTGTTGGGAATATGGCAGTAAACACACAAAAGTTCCTCTATCATGAGACCCATGCCCCATTGTGTCAGGTCGCAACAGGTGTCAGAGGGCTTGAAGCCCTGGCAGAACAGGACAGGTTGCTGGGGGGACAGGGAGCCTAGGGCTGTAGCTTCACATCCCTCTGGCACGTGATTGGCAATTATTTGTATTCTTTGCTTTATGATGTAAGAAAGTAAAGTGGGGCCTCCCTGGTGGCGCAGCGGTTGAGCGCTGCGTTGCGAAGCTGCCCGCAGACTCTGCAGCGTCGGTTTGATCCCCGGCTGCTCCCTGGCTACCGGAGGAGGGTCCCACATGGCACGCAGACCTCTCCTGCCGCCCGCTGCTCCCCTCAGCAGTGTACTTCAGTCCTTCTGCCTGTTCTGCTCCATGCTCTGGCTCTGGTGAATTCTCTCACCCTCCCGTGCTTCTGACTGTACCCAGTGCTTGTATAAATAAATAAAAATAAATCTTAAAAAAAAAAAAGAAAAAGAAAGTAAAGTGATGTACTTTCTTTTTAAAAAATTCTCCTTAGTTTCGGAGTCAGAACAACTGTAAGGAAAACAACGAAGTAGAATTCAGGTGGCCATGTTCTAACTGAGGTTCCTTCGCCAGGAAGCAGTGTTCAGCTTGTGCAGGTCCAGCTCCTCCTGTCTTTCCTCTTCTGTCACATAAAATGTAGGCTGAGGTGATTTGAGTACCTTTTAGTTCTCGTGTGATTTTAACACTGAAATTTTCTTTTCATTTTGTAGGTCTGTGTGGTTTATTGTCAAGAGCTAAAGTGCTGGTGCAGGGCTATTATTAAGTCAATAGTGTCTTCAGCAGACCATTACCTGGCAGACTGTTTCCTTGTGGATTTTGCCAAGTACATTCCAGTGAAATCTAAAAAGTACGTCTGTATTTATTTTACCTTATGATCTTTAAGGAAATTAGTGTCAGTTTTGAAGGAGAGCATTGATTTTCAAAATAAAGGAATAGAGGTCATAATGTGGAAATTTAGTTTTGAGAAGAAAAGACTTGCAGGTTCCAATTTTGTATGAACTGAATGCAAGAGGAAGGTGTCAGCGAAGGCTCAGCAGGTGGCTCTGTTCCACCTTCCTTTCTGGAGAGACAAAAGCTCTGTATCTCCTAGGTGCTCTTGGCCAGCTGCTTAGCTGGCCTGTCTTCTTAGTTTTGGTGATGGAGTGGTTCCTTAGGGAGCCTTGCCTGTAAAAAAGACACCACCAGGAGGCAGAGAGAAACTCTTCTTGTCTCCACAGAAGGGGCAGTTTGCTGGTTCAGCCCCGGGTTACAGAAAGCAGAGCATATGTTCAGCATGCACTCCTGGTTGTCCTTCTTAAGAAATCGAGGATGACACCATCTCATCAGGAGGGGAGACAGTTAGAATGAGCCCCAGTGACCCCAGGACCACGTCACTGTTCATTAAAAAACAGTCAAGTCAGTCTTGGTGTTTGTGTTATTTTTTTCAGCTTTTGTCCCATAGTAAAGAGGCTATCAGTTTAATAAATATGGGTACCCTTCATTCAAAAGAGCAATATCCCATATGCTTTAATTGCATTAATTTTTAAAATTTCTTTTATAATTTTTTTTTTTTAAAGATTTATACAAGAACTGCTGGGGTACAGGTCAGAGGCATGAGAGGGTGAGAGAATTCACCAGAGACAGAGTGGGGGGCAGAACGGGCAGATAGACCGAAGACATTGCTGAGGGGAGCAGCGGGCGCGACAGGAGAGGTCTGCTGTGCCATGTGGGCTGCTCCCTGGCTGGCTGGGAATCGAACCCCCGCTGCAGAGGCTATGGACAGCCCCACAGCACAACGCTCAACCTGCTGCACCACTGGGGAGGCCCAAGAAGTTTTTTTTTTTAAATAAAAGGATTTCATGGCATGAGGACTCATGAGACATTGAGAATTTGCAGATACTTAAGAGCATATGCCTTTCTAGCTTTTCATTCTGTGCCTTTATAACCACAGTTGTTGTTAGAAATAGCACTCATGTTTGACTGAGATTTTCTTTCTGGCATTTTGTTTTAAGTTCATTTGTTTTGGGCAAGAAAATTCTATAAGCAAATAGAGTTAAGGAGACTGCAGGGGTAGTAGTAGCACACCACCTTTTTCTAAGACAAAAGGTGGTGAGGCTACCCCTGCAGGGTGTCTTGGGATTGAGGAAACAGGACCAGTTTATGTTGAAATTATGAATGTGGCCTGTCATTTGTCTGAAGATAAATGGACGTAAAAATGCTAAACAACTTATTCAATCTCGGTGCTTCAGCTCTTTTGGGCAAAGTTGGTAGATTATTAAAAAGGTCTGCTCAAACTATAAACCAGAGACACACTATTGGGGGGGGAGAAGGGAATAGGATCAAAACGGGGGGTGGGGTGGGAATTGTATGGGGACTATAACCAAGATGAAAATGCATACATTGTGCAAAAATGAAAAATGATGTAAAAAATATATAAAATAAAAAAAATGAAAATAAGAGAGAGAAAAAAGGTCTGCTCATTTGGAGCAACATGAAGATAATCCTGGTTGTATATTGGAAATAAAATTGATGTTTAAAAATATTAAATAGAAAGTGATTTCCATATTTGTTCATTGTTAATTATCCACTGTTTCTCAATCTGCGGACATTATTTTGTTAATCTGTCCCTGATTCCTTGCCATGAAATTTAACACTGAACATCTGTTTATGTGCTCTGTGTGTGGGGTGGGGGGGAGGGGAATACATTCAAAAATTAAGACTTTTTTTACCTTCAAGAATCAGATTTTGCCTCTTTGGAGGGTCTCCAGTGCTGCTGAGGACTACATTAAGAACAGAAAATTTGGATTTTTCCGTGTTATGTGAAATATATAGGTGTACTTGAAAGAACTACATTACGTGTAATTTGTCTTTATATGGATTTATTTCTGTTTCTGTGTTAAGCATCCGAGTTGCAGTGGAAGCTTTCATGCAGCTTCCCTACAGGGCGAAGAAGTTCAGATTGTACTGCACCAAACCCGTTACCTTACAGATTGACGTCTGTGAGGACAGCGCTGAAATTGTGTAAGTACGCAGCTTCTCACAACTGTCGAGTCACTGGTACAAGTCTTAAATCACTTACATGGTGTTGAGAGGAAATCAGTCTCTCTTCAAAGTGTGATTTCCCAGGTCTTTGTTTTTGGGGCTGGGTCCTCTGAGTGATGGAGTGAGATGTGGCCTCGGGGCTGGGCTCCCTCCTAGAGTCCCATTCCCAGCGGCTAAATCTTTCTTTTTTTTTTTTAACTTACAAAAAGTAGCTAGCTGTATTAAGGTTGTGTGTAATGTATACGTATATACACAAGAAAACCCCTATCTTTGCTGCTTGTTGCTAGCGTTTGGCCACATTGTGAGTGTTTGTATGGGGTGGTCCCTGCATCGGGCAGTCCTGTGAGAGGGGTATGGTTCTGTTCTCTGCGGGCTTAAACACGCACCACCAGAGGAGCTCCCACCAGTGGTCCTTCTCTTCTCCTGCTCCAGGATTGTGGTTTTGTGGAAAGAAAAGCTACTGGAAGCAGCTCAGTGCTGCCTCAGCTTGCGTATCCTGGGAGGTGTTGCATTGTGTTATCTGAACCTGGAAGCCTCCACTCTTGTGGATGCTTTTGTGGGGTCTGTAGAGACCCTACCCACCCCCACGCCCTGACACCTACAGCATCCCTCTTGTGGCTGCCCTCAGTATCCCCACTAATGAGACACTAAGCCAACCCATCTCTGAGGTCAGTGCTGCCCCATGCCAGCCCACACCACCACTATCCACTTCTACCCTGAGAGACTTGGCCCCCTTGGGAGCCAGGCCTGCCTCTTCCCGTCCTCTTCCCATCCTACTTTCCTTCTGTGGGTGACTTTGGTGCTAGTCTGTCTGCTCCCAGGTCTCACAGAGGTGTCTGTTTCCTTCTCTTCCTCACTCCCTCTCTGACCCCTTGTCAGCCCCATGGTGCTCTTCCGCATCTCCCCAATCTTGGATACCCCCACACCTCAGATAACCTTCTTAACATAGGTAAAGGGTATAGAGTGCCAGGATTTTGACTACTTTCTTTGACATGTGGTACTTTCAAAAGTGATAACTTCACCTAGAATGTCTACCATGATAGGTGTATTACAGTTTTTGATAGATTTTGTCACATTTCCATCCAAAAGGACTAGGAATTTATATTCCTATCATTGGGGTATAGAAAGTGCTGCTTTCCCCACCAATATTGAATGTTATAGATTTTAAAGTTTTAGCTTGTTTGCTAGGTGAAAGTGGTATTTTGTTTTAATTTGTATTTTTCTGACTTAAAAAGTTGGATTTCTCTTCAGGCGGCTGTTGTTAGGCGGGTGGGGGTGGGGGTTGTACACCCCTGAGGGCGCACACATGAGCAGGCACAAGAGAGACTGATTATCTTACCTGTTCATGGCCCAGATTGAGTTTTCTTTTTAGGAATCTGATCTCGTTTTTGTCTTTTTTGAAAAGATTTTATTTATGCAATAGCTGGGTTACAGGCCAGAGGCACGGGATGGTGAGAGGATTCACCAGAGACAGTGGGGAGCAGAACAGGCAGACGGACCGAAAGCACTGCTGAGGGGAGCAGCGGGTGAGGCAGGAGATGTCTGCCATGCCATGTGGGTATCTCCCTGGCCGGCCGGGAATCGAATCCGCGCTGCAGAAGCTTCAGACAGCTTCGCAGCACTGTGCTCAACCCACTGCGCCATTGGGAAGGCCTGATCTCTTGTTTTTTAAAGAAAGCTTATTGGGTAATTCTTTTGTTTGTGGTAAGTTACTAGAACCAGTTCTTTTTTTTTTCCCTTGACTTCTTTTAGAAAATCCTCTGTAAACTCTCTTTAAGCCATATACTTAATATTTTTCTTAGGCAAAATAGCTGATACATTAGTCCTGTTGGGCTAAGTATTTTATGTATATTGCCATTTGATTTTCAGAATCATTCTTGGAGGATGGTAGTACCATGTCTCATAAATGAAACCCATGGAAAAATAAAACATATCACTTTACTCTTGTTTTTGTTCCATACTTCCAAGTATTGGAACCAAGTAATAGTTTCTCCTGATCTTCTCTGCCTACAGCTTTTCCTTCTATTTTTTTCCCCCCAAAGCCTAGTATGGCTCTCAACTCAGTGTGTGATTGATTGAGTGGTGTTTTCAGCACACCACTAAGCAGTCAGCTCAGTTCTGACACAATTCCCTGAGGATAGCCTCAGGATCGTGGTTAAAACCTCATTCTTATGAGACTGTGCCCTTGTCCCCACACCCCCACTTCAGATGCCAGTCACCAACCCAGGTTGTCACTGAGCTTCTGGCTAACCAGCGTAGCTCACTTGTCGCAAGGACTACCTTCTTGGGTTTGGTTAATTTGCTAGAATAGCTCATAGAACTTAGAGAAACATTTACTTATTGCATCCCTAGTTTATTATAAAGGAATGTAATTTAGGAACACCTGATTGAAAGAGATACATACGACAAGATGTGAGGAAAGGAAGAGGAACTTCTGTGACCTCTTTGAGGTGTTACTGCCCTCAAATTTCCATAAATTCTCCAACCCAGAAGTTCTCCCAACTCTTTCCTTTTGGGTTTTTGTGTATAACTAGTTGTGATGGATCAAATCATTGGCCATTGGCTTTTGAATCAACCTCCAACCTCCAGTCAGCAATCTTCCCCCTACCCACCACTGCCCATGGGACTGGTCCAGTTCTCTAAGTACATTGCTGGCTTCTCTGGCAACCAGTTCCCTTCCTTTGGTTCACCTGGAAGTCATGTCATTAACATAAGAAAAGACACATTTATAGCTTTCTTTACTGAGGGAATTCCATTGGTTTTAAGAACTTTGTATCAGAAACAAAGTCAAAGACCAAGTATGTATTTACTGTTATAAATCACAATACCCACACAGGAAAGGGAAAAATGCTTAGGAAAAATGGGAAAACAGTGGAAGGGAGTTGGCAGAGTGAGAAATACTATGAGGTAATTGTAACTGGACTCTTTTTTTTCTCTCTTGTCTTTTTCTTTTTAAAGATTTATTTATATATGTATACAAGAACTGGGGTACAGGCCAGAGGTATAGAGGGTGAGAGGATTCACCAGAGACAGAGTGGGGAACAGAACAGGCAGATTGACTGAAGTACACTGCTGAGGGGAGCAGCAGGCAGGTCAGGAGAGTTCTGCTGCATCACGTGGGTGGCTCCCTGGCCGGGGATCAAACTTGTGCTGCAGTGGCTTCGGAGAGCTTCATAGGTTGCATCTTAACCCCTTGCGACACCAGGGAGGCCCTGTAACTGGACTTTTCATGACCATTCTTAGAATGTTAGCTTCAGAAACATTTATGGGGATGTTTAAGAAAACAACAACATAGCAGAATAGAGAGGCTGGGATTAATCTCCTAAAAAAGGACTTATAAAAAGATTTTAGGAAAACTCAGATGCTTCAACCCAGCTGTATGACACCAGCAACTCTCCATGTTATCCAAGAACTAAAAAAAAAAAAAAAAAAAAAGTCCGTTCTTCTAGGGCACCCAGCCAGAAGGGGAAGCCCAGCCCTCCGAGCCTGCCAACATCAGCTGGGACTGGCTCCTAGCCTGGAACCCCCCCAGTATACTACCCTGCTACATCTGGAATTCCTGGATACCCACAGGTGAACAACCCAGACCTCTGTACCAGCCACCAGCTCCACAGGAGTGGTAGAAACTTTATTTTCCTTTTCCCTGAGACACAACTTGAGTAAACCCTTGATGGGAGGTGCATCCCACTCAGCCTTCTGGCACCACCTACCGAACACAGCCAAGACACCAGCCATCAGTACTGAGAAAGACCTTGAGAAACTAAGCATCAGTCACTCCACTTAACCAACCCACATCTCCAAGCAGACCAGGCCACAACTGGAACCTCATCCTTGCATCAGGGATCCCCAACTGTCCCCTACAACACCAGAAATTACACTCCATCTAGTCTGCTGCACCTACCAGGGGACAGGGCCACAGCCAGAGCCTCACGATGCTGGGCCCTGCATCAGGGGCCTTTGGATACCTCAAGCAGTCTGGTCAAGGAACACCACAAGAGCCCCCACCCCTGCCCAGCTGCAGCAGTGGCTCAGGCAGTAGGTAAGTCCATCCACACCAAGGTAAGAGCACCAGAATATTCTGCTTGGGCCTCCCTGGTGGTGCAAGGGGTTAAGTCTCAGCATTATGATGCTATTGGCAGCCACTGCAACATTAGTTCGATTCCCGGCCAGGGAGCTGACCCACATGGCAAAGCAGATCTCTCCTGTTTCTCTCGCTTCTCCCCTCAGCAGTGTATTTCAGTCAGTCTGCCTTTTCACGTCCCCACTCTGTTTCTGGTGAATCCTTTCACCCTACGCCCCCACACCTCTGGCCTATACCCCAGCTCTTGTATGCATAAATAAAATAAATCTTTAAAAAAAAAGAGTATTTTGCCTGCCAGCAGTAGCAGTCTGGTTGATGGGTGCCATGGGAACCCCCACCTCAAGCCCACCCAGCTGCCGCAGTGGCCCAGGCAGCCTCACATCCATCCACTGGCCATTAGAAGAGGTATAGTATGTGGCAACTGAGGGGGAAAGCAACAGGAGTGCCTGTTCCCAGCCCCCACCCACCGCCCATAGCAACCCAAGCTCCAGGCAAATCCACACATGCCCTGGTAAATGCACACAGAAGTCATGTCAGCAGGCATCAGTGGCCACATGGCCCAATGCCAAGAACAAACATGGAAAGAAACAGTGGGGAGAAAGAAATATACAAGTGGTCAAGCAAGCCCTCCTGAGAGCAGTACACTACAGAAGGAAAATTAGCTTCCAGAACCCAATGAGACTGACGTGGAAGAATTTCTCTGCCTGCTTGACAGATAAAGAATTCAGAATCATCTTAATTTAAAAAAAAAACTATGAAACATAATCAACAAACAGAAAAATGAGATTGAATCTTTAAAAATAAAAGGAACTGGAGGAGGTTAAATTGTAAGAACTAAACTATTCTGGAAAAAAGCCACAAAAATAGAATAGATGAATGGGAGAATGAATCAGTACTTTTGAAGAGACAGATATAAAAAGAGCCATAAAGAAAAGAATATAGAAACACTGAGAATTATATGACATCATGAAAAAAGAAAATGTAATAGTTACGAATCCCAGAAGAAGGGAGAGACAGTGGAACTGAGAAAATTCTTCAAGGAAATAACTGAAGAGAAGGTCCCAAACATGAAGAAGGAAACAAAAATAGACACATAGGAAGTTTGATGAACACCAAACTACCATAACAAAAAGAAAAAAAACTATAGTGAGACACATAATAATAAAGCTTCCAAGAGTCCAAGACAAAGAAAAAGTAATGAAGCTGATATGCGAAAGAAACAGATAACCTATAAAGAAAAACCAATTAGGCTGATACCAGATTTCTCTAAAGAAACACTATGGGCAAGAAGAGAATGGAGTGACATATTCAAAAAACGCCAAGTCAAAAATGCCAGCCCTGAATACTATATCCTGCAGAACTCTCCTTGTATGAGGGAAAAAATAAAGACCTTTTCAGATAAACAAAATCTTCAGAAATTTGCTACCACTAAATCCCCAGTCCAAGAAACAATACAAGAAGCCTTAAAGTCTAAATCAATGGAGGAATGAACAGAAAGAATGTAACAAGGTAGTGAATAGAACCACAAAATGATGAGCAAAATGGCAATAACAGACTTCCATGTATCAATAACCATCCTAAATGTTAATGGACAAATAAACTCATCTATAAAAAGGCAAGGGTAACATTTTGGGTAAAAAACAGAACCCAAACTTCTGCTGCCTCCAGGAAACACACTTAAGTTCCTAAGATAAGCATAGATTGAAAATAAAAGGTTGGGAAACAATTCTAAAAGCAAATGGCCCCCCAAAGAAGGCAGAGGTAGCCATACTTAGATAAAACAAACTTCAGACTAAAAAAGATGACAGGAGACATTTAAGGACACTGTGTAATGATCAAGGGGACAATGGATCAGAAAGACCTAACACATCAATAAATACTCACCAAATGAGGGAGCTCCAAAATACGTTAGATAGCTACTATCAGCTCTGAAAACGGACATTGGAGAAAATACATAGATACTTTCAAGACTCCCAACACCTCACTCTCACCTGGGGCCAGATCAATAAGACAGAAATTAAACAAGGACACAGTAGCCCTAAATGAGTATCTAGACCACGTGGACCTAATAGCCGTCTACTTCAGAAAAACTGAGTACACATTTTTCTCAAATGCACATGGGTCATTTTCCAGGATCGACCTCACAAGACAAACATCAACACAAGACAAACATAGTCACAAGACAACATCAACAGAAGACAAACATTGTCTTAGTCACAAGACAAACGTCAACAAATACATGAAACTAGACTACCTCACACCATATACAAAAATCAACTCAAAATATATAAAAGACTGGGCCTCCCCTGGTGGTGCAGCGGTTGAGTGCTGGGCTGCGAGGCTGCCCGCAGCCTCTGTAGCACCGGTCCCACCAAAAAAAAAAAAAAAAAAATGTATAAAAGACTTAAATGTAAGATGTGACACCATAAAATATATAGGAGAAAGCAATGGCAAAACATTCCATGACATAAACCTTAGAAACATTTTTGAGAATTCTTCTCCAGATGCAAGGAAAACAAAGGAGAAGACAGTTGAGACTACATCAAAGTAAAAGCATTTGTGAGCAGAAGAGACAATAATAGCAACTGAGATAGCCTCCTGAATGGGAGGAAATACTTGTACACCATACAACTGGTAAGAGGCTGATACCAAAGATCTACAAAGAACTTGTACAACTCAACAAAAACAAAGCGAACAGTCCAGTCAAAAATGGGGAAAAAGATACTTCTCCAGAGAAGAAATGCAAATGGCCAATAGGCATATGAAAAAATGGTCAACATTTCTATCAGGGAAATGTAAATCAAAACCAGTGAGATAACTACCTTACTCCAGTAAAAGTGGCCCTCATTGAAAGAAACAGGAAATAACAAATGCTGGAGAGGACGTGGAAATAAAGGAACCCCATTACACTGCTGGTGAAAATGTAAACTGATTTGGCTGCTATGGAAAGCTGTGTGGTGGTTCCTCAGAACACTAAAAATGGATCTCCCATATGATCCAGTGATGCTACTCCTTGGAATCTACCCAAAGGACCAAAAAACACTAATTTGAAAGGAAACATGCACTCCTATGTTTACTGCAGTCATGGCCTATTTATACAATGGAATATTACCCAGAGATCAAAAAAGACAGACTCATGCTATTTGCAGCAGTATGGATAGAGCTGAAAAGGATTATGTTTGCTGAAATTAGTCAAGGAAAATATAAATACCAGATGCTCTCACTCATATGTGGAATATGGGGAAACCAAAGAAAAGGTTAAGAAAAGTCAAAACTAGCAAGCTCACCATAGAACTGAGGCATCCAGCAAAGGAGGGAGCTCGAAGGGTTGGAGCAACAAGGGAGGGATGAACACAAGGGAATATGATGATGGTTCGTGGGTGACACAGTGGTGGGAGAACTATGGGGACTACAACGATGTAAGAAAAAATTTTAATAAAAAAGGGAAAATGCAAAAAGGAAAAAACAAAAGAGATGGAGGAGGCATTGTTTGCTTGGGCTAAACACTGGGAAGAGTGGTATTGGGACATGATGACCTGGTGGTGGAATCAGTGGCTCAGGAAGCTCCAGGAAAGGAGTGGTTCTCATCACTGGTACCGTGAGAAGAATGGAGCCCACTGCAGGGTGCAGCAGCCCAGCATCCTTAGAGTAAGGCAGAGCCCGGTTCCTGTCATGTGTATCATATGGCCAACATGTAATGTCAAGCACCCAGCCGTGCTTTACAAAACGACATTAGTATACATAGGCCTCGGGTTATTTAATGAAGTCACCTGTGTTCACTGTTCCAGACCTGCCATGAAGTGGGACAGTGCAGCTATTCAGTACTTCCAGAACATTCTCAAAGGTAAGACAAATGCATGATCACTATAGTCTGCTTTGAGCTGACCCACAACATGTTTTGACTTCGTGGTGAGGGTGTTTGGAGTGTGTGTGCTTAGCTGTTTGACCCTTCCATGTTAGTTCACAAGTTGCCTGGAGCGTCCCGGTGTCAAAGTAATCTTGGACCCCTGGGATTTGGGGAATCAATGTCAACATCAATTGACAGTTGAAATCAGAAAGGGACTGTCTGGGTGAGGGATTCTTGCACAGTAATGATGCCTGTCTTTTGGTTTCCATAGAAGCTGTAGTACTAAAAATAAATTTTTGTATATTGAATTGAACCAGCAGTTGTTGAAAAGCTTAACTTCTATTAGTGAGGTAGGATATGGATATTTATTGTGTACTAATCATTATTGCTAATTTAAGGTGCATACCGTGTCTCAGGGCAACGTTTAATGAACTCTGTTTTATATTGTTGACTATAAAATAGTTTCATCGTAACATCTCTCCTAATCCCTGACAGTGAAGAGGCAAATAAGGGCTTAGGAGTAGTAGGTATGACGTGCCTGGTGTGCTGCCTGATATCTCTTGGGGTCCTGGCCCTTCTCTACTGCCCCATTGTCTGGGTCAAGGAAAAGCCAGTTGCCTTCCATCTGGGAGAAACAGGAAGTTGGGAGGGTCACTAGTTTGGGTTTATTGACCTTGTGTATCTGTTGGAGAATAGTGGGAGATGCGGGTGTGGAGGAAGCAGAGCACCTTCTACTTCCATGTATACGTTTCTGGGCCTGGCCTTCTTACTTGTAGGATGATGACAGCAGTACTTACCTTGCAGGGTTGTGGTAGGAGTAAAAGGAAACCCATTTAGCTTAGTTCTATGAGAACTGTGCGTGGAGCTATGGTAGGTTATTAGGTCTCCAAAAGAGTAGCTAAGATGCAAGACTGACTGCAAATGGGGGTTTGGGAGTCATCAGAAGGGAAGGGAGGATCATGGTGTTCATGGAGGGGTGCCAGTTGTGCGACTTACCCTCCTAAAGGCTCACCCTGCAGGGCAAGCCATTGCATGTGTGGCACTCGGCAATCACTATTGCTAAGCAGAGATTAATACTTGGGAAATAGTCACACTTGTTTCAGGTAAACTTTGCATATCAGCTCACTTATGTTTCCATTTATGTTATTTAGCAACTACCCAGGTGGAAGCCAAATTATGTGCTGTGGAAGAAGATACTTTTGAGGTTTACCTTTACGTAACTGTAAAAAATGAAAAAGTAAGTAAAAAAAAATTGTTTAAAAAACAGCTCATTATTATTTTACAGCTCTTTTTTAGTAAAACACCAAGGAAAGCAGTGTCACACAAGAGAGAAATTTTCTTAATCATTCAAGTTTTGGCTTAGATCAGAAGTTAGCCTGGATTTTGTTTTCTTCTTTTCATTACTAGTTAAAATTACATTTGTAGTTTTAGATAGCACTTTAATTAGTTAGTAATGGACAATAAATCACTTCTACAGTGATGACTAAGAGTCTTCTTTTAAGAAGATGTACCTGTTCTGCTCCCCGTTCTGTCTCTGGTGAATCCTCTCATCCTCCTGCGCCTCTGGCCCGTACCCCAGCTCTTGTACAAAAATAAAAAATTTTAAAATAAATACATGCATTTATGGCTTTGGTTCACGGCTTCTCACCCCTCCTCCCCCATGTTTTCTCATAGGGTGTAATGCATGCTCATTGTAAAGAATTCAGATAAGTAGAAACAAGCAGTATCTGCACCTCTCCTGCCCACCTGTGACTCTGCGGGTGTTTCTTTTTACAAACGTTTTCCCTTTGCAAAGCAGCAGCAACTCTCAGCCCGCTGCGTCAATGCCTTTTACTTGTTTTCCTTTCTCCTGGGAGGTGACCCACATGGCATAGCCCACCTTTCTTGTCTCGCCTGCTGCTCCCCTCAGCAGTGTATTTCAGTCGGTCTTTCTGTTCTGTTCCCTACTCTGTCGTTGGTGACTCTTTGCACCCCCCACACCTCTGGCCTGTACCCCAGTTCTGCATGAATAAATAAATCTTTTTAAAAAATGTAAAAAAGAAAGGAAAGGATCATCACGAAAGAGCCCTCCTCTCCCCCTCCCGTTATTAGTTATTAACACGGGTGAGCTCTCTGAAGGGTGGCCCAAGGCCACAATTTTGCCCCTTGTGTGGATGGAGATACAGATTGAAGCCCACAGAGGGCATCTTCACCATGGATTTTTAAAAAATTATTTTGAAATAATTTGACAGATAAAAGATGCATCAATAGTACAAAAATTTTTGTATATGCTTTACCTAAGTTCCCTTAATACCAATGATTAAGGTCAGAAATTTAACATCAATAGTGTTCACATAAAGTTATTTCAAAATTACACATGCATGTGAAAAATAAATGTTTTAAATTTTGAATCATGCAGCCAAAGCAATTTTCCAAAGTTGTTTGGATTGGTTCTTTTCTTCTCTACCCTCTTCAGTGTGATAATGGTATTCATTTCTAATATGGTTCATTTGTTTCTGATTGTTTTGAATGTCAGGTTCCCTTATATCCTTGTTGATTTAGCTGTGACTTTTCATTGCTTATTTTGCTACTAGGTAAACATACCAAAATAATGATCGTAACTGCAGTCTTGTAAAATGTCTTACTCTGTTTCTTTCTTCTTTCAGGAGTAGCCCTCTTTTCTGTGTGTGGGGTGGTATGCAAGTTGTAATGTGCTCTTATTTTAAGATAGTGAAGTGGAAAAGACACACTTAGCCAAGAGAGAACTTTTGCAGTGGAGGCATGAGGTCATAAATGCCAGGAAAAGAAAAATAGGGCCAACAATCCCTTTCCAGCTTCCAAAGGAAGCACAGAGATGTATTCCCGTGTATTCTTTTTTTTTTTTTTGGGGGGGGGGGGCTTGGCTTCTTTGATTCAATGAGGTTCTTTTTTTTTAAAAAAAAAAAAAGATTATTTATGTATACAGGAACTGGGGTACAGGAGGCCAGAGGTGCAGGGTGTTGAGAGTATGAACCAGAGACAGAGTGGGGAACAGAATAGGTAGACTGACTGAAATACACTGCTGATGGGAGCAGTGGGTGGTACAGGAGAGGTCTGCTGTGCCATGTGGGTAGCTCCCTGGTGGGCCGGGGATCAAACTCCTGCTGCAGAGGCTGCAGATAGCTTCACAGTGCTATGCTTAGCCCCTTGTGCCACCAGGGAGGCCCCAACGAAGTTCTTTTAAATCCTCTTTGTTCCCTTTTTTGAGACCTTCTCTTTCTTTGTCTGGATATGCTATAATGTGTTTATCCACTAGATGATGGATGTTTGGGGGTATTGGAAATAAAACTGCTATGAATGTTCACATACAGGTTGTCTTGTGCACCCATATTGTCATTTCTATTAGCTAAATACCTTAGAGTCAAACTTCCGGATGGTATTGTAGGGAGTAACAAATTGTTTTCCAAAGTGATTGGCCTCTTTATAATCTCATAAGCAATGTATGAGAATTTTAGAAGCTCCATGCCCTCAGATACTTACATGGTCATTCTGACAGATGTGGTATCTCAGTATTGTTTAAATTTGCATTTCCTTCATATCAAAACAACAGTTAGCTATCACCTCACACCTATGAGAATGGCTATTATCCAAAAGATAAGAAACAAAAGTGTTGGAGAGGATGTGGAGAGAAGGGAATCCTATACCCTATTCTGAGAATGTAAATTGGTTCAACCAACATGGAAAACAATATGCAGATTCCTTAAAAAACTGAAAATAGAAATTTCACATGCTCTAGTTATCCCAAAATATTTACCAAAAACCCCCCAAAAAACAAAAACAGTAAAACCTAATTCAAAGAGACCTGCACCCTTATGTTGATTGCAGCACAATTTACAGTAGCGTAGAACTGGAAACAATCTCTGTAACCATCAATTCATGAGTGGATGAGAAAGATGTTGTATATATACACAATGGAATACCATTCAGCTATAAAACAGATGGAATCTTGCCATTTGTGATGGTGGATGGAACTAGAGGGAATTTTGATTGAAATAAATTAGATGGAGACACACTACATGATTTCTCTTGTGTGATAATAAAGAAAACAAACATGAACCAAATAAAACAAAAGTAAACTTTTGGACTATAGAATCAATTAGTGATTAATAGAAGGAAAGGGGTCAATTGGGATGAAGGGGACAATGGTATTGATGTCGTTTCTTTGGAGTAAGTGGGTTTGGAGCGCGGGGTCCTTGGGTTCACTCTGGGAAAGTTTTCACCAGAACTCCCCTTTCACTGGCACGCAGCGAGTTTCTCCATGAGACAGAGATGGTAGTTGTTTAAAGAGCAGGTTATTAGGAAAGGAACGGAAGAGTAAGAGACACTTGCAGACACAAGCAGGCAGGAAACGCTGCCCTGAAAGGGACAAGTTTGCTGAGATGCCTGCATGGTTGCCTTGAAGAGAGCTGCCTCCACAGAGGGAGGTCAGTGAGGAGAAGTCCCGGTATGTTACAGGTCACGGACACGCAGGAAGGCTGCTGCCCTGCAGAGGAGCATCTACATAGTCACAGGTGGGCAGAAGGTTGGCTTCCCTATGCCAGTGCAGAGAGTGCATGGATATAGTCTTTTTCTCTTTGGAAGAGGCTTACTCCTTTGTGGAGTGGCCTGTTTGCTGTTGATTTTGGATAACAATGCAGAATCTGAAATGGACCAGAGATTCCAGGATGGGCCCAATATCTATATCTTTACCCTCAGGTCTGTGCTCCAGACACTCTCTACAGCAGTCTGATAGCTGCTTGGAATTTATGCCTTGTGATAAGGCACTGGCGCCTAAGGATCTTGATGTCTATAGCTGTGTTAATGGTCACGTTAATCCCCTCTACCCCCACCTCCTTGTTTGAGTCAGATTTTAGTCTTGTGATGCCTCCTTTAGGTTTTCTAATCTCTTCTCCATCAGTATGGTGAAGGATTGCATTAAACTTTCAATGGTAAATTTCATGGAGAGTATATACATTTTTTTCCAAAGTCTTTTTTTTTTTTTTAAGATTATTTTTATTTATATAAGAGCTGGGGTAGAGGCCAGAGTTGCAAGAGGGTGAGAGGATTCACCAGAGACAGAGTGGGGAGCAAAACAGGCAGATTGACTGAAATATACTGCTGAGGGGAGCAGTGGGTGAGACAGGAGAGGTCTGCCGCGTCATGCAGGATTCTCCCTGGCCAGCTGGTAATCTAACCGGCGCTACGGAGGCTGTGGACAGCTTCACAGTGCAGCGCTCAATCCACTGCACCACCAGGGAGGCTTGAGCATGTACATTTTAATTCTCAGTGATCCACACCTGAAATTTATGTTATAATGCTATGTTACTTCAATTTTAGAACTTCATTTAAAATTTTAAAAAATTGTATTTCCCTGATGACTATAGAAGTTGAATTTTTTTTTTAAAAAGACTTATTTATACAAGAGCCGGGGTACAGGCTAGATGTGTGGAAGGGTGAGGATTCACCAGACAGAGCAGGGAGCAGAATAGGCAGACTGACGAAACACACTGCTGAGGGGAGCAGCGCGTGAGACAGGAGAGGTCTGCCGCGCCATGTGGGTCCCTCGCTGGCTGGCGGGGATCGAACCTGCACTGCAGAGGCTGGGGACAGCTTCACATCGCTGTGCTCAACCACCTGCGCCACCAGGGAGACCCATAGTTGAATGTTTTTTAATACACTACTTAACAACCCATCTGTCTCTTTGATGAAGTATGCATATCTTTTAGCAATTTTTTATTTGGGTGGTTTTCTTTGTAAAGAATTTACATATTCTGGATAACATGTCCATACAGATATTTAATTTTTTTCCCTCCCTATCTGTGGAGTGCCCTTTATCTCATAAAAGTAGAATTTCTGAAGAGCAGAAATTTAAAATTTTAATAAAGTAGTTTGTTAGTTTTTCCTTTGATGATTTGTGCTTTGTCATTGTCTTCCCCCTAAGTTGTCTGGCATAGTTGTGTTACCTTTTCACTGCCTTCAAGAAGATGCTTATATTTTATAGATTCTTGCTGTTTTTCTCATCAAGAGGGTTGGTCAGAAGTATCTAGTTTACTGTTACCAGAGCAGAAGGCAAGAGAATGATTTCTATCTAAAATAATTTTTTTGAAGATTGATATTTGGGGTTATGTTTGGAATATTATCTGAACAAATATTGACTACATGTCTCCTTATTCATCAAATGTTTAAAATTGTACAGGTTTGTATTAATGATGACCTGGTTGCAAAGAACTTCGCTTGTTATATATCACCAGTGGAGAATAAGCACCTTGATCCTTTAGAGAAATCAAGATTGAGTATAAAGTCAACATCCTTTTCTAATAAGCTCAATCCAGCACTTACTCTTTGGCCAATGTTTTTGCAAGGAAAAGATTCTCAAGGAATGGAAAGTGAGTGGATTCTCATCAGTATGTTTTCTTTAACCTGCTAATTGATAGGAATCAAAGGGTATCGACATCAGTTGTACAAACTTTTCCCCATGTGGAGGCAGACTTGGACTCTGAAATTAATATTTTAATTTTAATTCTAGTGAGCTTGGGACAGGTTTTTAGGTCCTACAACTGCTAGAGTTTGTTTTTCTGAGACCAGGAAAAACAATTCTCAATTTCTTAATAATATGGAATGATATTTTTAGAAGTCCACATGGTTACAGTTTCAAGATATTTCCAAAACATGGTTTCGTGGACTTAGGGTTTTAGACATTAAAAAATAACTACTAGCATGAGAATATGCAAAGAGGGTTCTGCTGAGGGAGCAATGTCTCTATAAACCTTGAAGCAAAAGCAAGAGCAGGGAAAGTATACCACCACATTCATGTTTGTATTTTGAGTTTTATTTCATGCTTTTCAATCCTGAATTGTGTTCTTTCTGTCAGATTCACATGGTTTAACTTTTCTGGCACGGTCTCTCCAGCACCCATGGCCCAAGAAAGTTGTTGGTCACCTAGGGCCAGCTGCTGTCACCCTGGGTAAGTTTTCAGTTGCGTTATTTCACAAGCAGCATGAAAGAACACTCTTAACTTAAAGATCATTGAGAGTTATTTAGAAAGACTATGGTCATTCTCCTTTTTCTTAATTTCATGGAACCAGTTTATTGTAATAGAGATAATTTTCTTTGCATCCGTGATTAGAGGATTTTATTATATTGTAAAGAACATAACTCAGGAAGATATAATCTATTAGTCTCATTATTATCTGATGTATTCCAGGCCAGTTACAGGCCAATGATTATTTGTCCTCAGATATATGTCCACCAATAGATTTATTATTAATTTTCACTGTGAACAATACAGTACATAAAAGTAAGGAAGAGGCATTTGTAAGGGCAGAAATACCCTTAATTCCATATATTCATGATGTTGAATGAGTAGGAATTGTTGGACAAGAATGTAATCTGCCGGCCTCTTTGATGTTTGGCTTAGCCTTCGTGGTAATCCTCCCCCGTTTCACTCTTAACATTGGGCATATGTATGCCTGTGTTCATATATATATATACACACACACACATACATAGTGAACCTCAGCTGAATTAAAACTTTAATTACCTGTAAAATGTTTCTTATACTTGGTATTATTTTTAATAATTTGCTAATATTTATGTAGAAAAAGTATTTAAGTTTTGTCTTAATAACTGCTTATTAAAATTTTAGTCTTTCCAAAGTTTTCAAGGCCTGAGAATGTATGTAAAGATTTTTAGGGCCTCCCCGGTGGCGCAGCGGTTGAGCACTGGGTTGCGAAGCTGCCCGCTGCCTCTGCAGCGCCGGTTCGATCCCCGGCTGCTCCCCGGCCACCAGAGGAGGGTCCCACATGGCGCGCAGACCTCTCCTGCCGCCCGCTGCTCCCCTCAGCAGTGTGCTTCGGTCCTTCTGCCTGCTCTGCTCCCCGCTCTGGCTCTGGTGAATTCTCTCACCCTCCCGCGCTTCTGACTGTACCCAGTGCTTGTATAAATCAATTAATCAATCAACCTTGTATAAATAAATAAATAAATCTTTAAAAAAAAAAAAAAAGATTTTTATAGGTGTGGGATACTCTTTTTTTTTTTTTAAAGATTTATTTATTTATTTATATAAGCACTGAGTACAGTCAGAAGCGCAGGAGGGTGAGAGAATTCACCAGAGCCAGAGCAGGGAACAGAACAGGCAGACTGACAAAATACACTGCTGAGGGGCGCAGCGGGCATGGCAGGAGAGGTCTGCGCGCCATATGGGACCCTCGCCAGTAGCCAGGGATCGAACCAGCGCTGCAGAGGCTGCGGGCAGCTTCTCAGCCCAGTGCTCAACTGCTGTGCCACCAGGGGAGGCCCGGGGTACTCTTTTTTTTTTTTTTTAAGATATATTTATGCATACAAGAGCTGGGGTACAGGCCAGAGGTGCGGTGGGGAGTGGGGGTGTTCATGTGTGAGAGGATTCACCAGAGACAGAGTGGGGAACAGAACAGGCAGATTGACCTAAGTACACTGCTGAGGGAAGCAGCAGGTGAGCCAGGAGAGGTCTGCTGTGCCATGTGGGTTGTTCCCTGGCAAACCGGGGATCGAACTTGTGCTGCAGAGGCTGCAGACAGCTTCATGGGTTGCGTCTTAACCTCTTGCGCCACCAGGGAGGCCCCAAGAGTGGGATACTCTTTGTAGTGTTTTTCATATAATATACAGCTGAACTTCTTTCTAGATCATATGTATTCACTGTAACATGGGTTTAAGGATATGTGCTCTGAGGTGGCTATTGAGATGTCACTCCTACTCCCAGTCCATGACATGGGGAAGTATAATTTCTATGCTTTCAAATTGGTTAGATGGCCATTCTTGTTTGCATGGCACAGTTCCTGGTTCATGGCCACTATTGGCACATATGTCCCTACCCCAGATTCTGATGGCCTCTTTTTGGGGTACCAGGTGAGAATTCTGCCTTGAAAGGAGCCCATTACTGATGAGAATATATTAGTTTCATTTGTGTTTCTTCCATTTCCATTGGCATGGAAAAAATATCAGGTATCTACATCATTGTGCTTAATAGTTCAATAATTTCGTTGTATGAATGTCATTATTCTAAGTAATTCCAGATAGCTGGACAATAATTGTTTCCTACTTTTCCTTATTACATATCTTTGAAACAGAAAAGGTTGATGGTAAACAAATAAAGCTAATGTGAGGTGTGACTAGTTTATCATATAAAAAATAGAATTATTAGATGTTACCCAAGTAAAGATTTCCTTTTCCTTGTATTCATTGTGAGAACCTATTTAATTATATTTTAATTTACATTTGGTGTTCTTTTTGAAGTTGCCTCATTTTTCTTAGTAAAAGTATGGTACATTGTTAGTACTTGGTAAACAATCAGTAGCATACAAGGGCTATAATGAAAAGTACTTTTCTCTTGTGTAATCTCTTCTCACCCCAGGCAGTTCCTTAGATGTAAACCTCTTTTGTCCTCCATAGCTATTTATTTTTATAGTTATCTCCCAATTTAGAGATAATTTTGTTTATCTTACCATTTTAGGCTTATCAATTCTATAGATTGTTTGGACTTCTGTGACAACTCTCATACCCCTAATGTACATACATCAAGTATTTATGAAGTGCCTGCTATATGTTAGGCACTGTTCTAAGGGAAGGAAACAAAGTCTCTGCTTTCATGGAGTTTATATCCATTTTCTCAGTACAGTGTTTTTATTTTAGAACCATCACAAATTACAGAAAAGTTGGAGACCAGTACAAGGAACTTTTTCCTAAGCTATTTGAGGATAAGTTGAATAGTCTTTGGTAAGAAGTCTCCGTTGTGTGATATTATTATACTTAGTCCAGATTCATTTTGATTGATATTGGCATAGGTTACCTTTTTTTCTGTCATTTCATTTTTAACCTTTTTGTGCCTTTGTATTTATTGGGGTTTCTTATAGGCAGCATATAGTTTTGATACAGCCTGTCAATCTCTGACTTTTAATTGGTGTGTGTAAATCATATATAATATCATTTATTTGATGTTGGATTTAAAACTGCCATCTTACTATTAATTTTCTGTCTGTCTCATCTATTTTTGTTCCTTTCTCTATTTTTTTCTGACTTCTTTTGCATTAAATATCTTTTATTCTTCTGTCTTATATCCTTTGTTAGTATACTAGCTATAAGTTTTTGTACTTGTTGCTTTAGGAGTTATGGTTTATATTTTCACTTATATAGTCTATCTTCAAGTAATATTGTTCCACTTCACACATAGAATAAGATCTTTACAGCAGTGTGCTTTCATTTCCTCTTTCCCCAACTTTGTTCTATTGTCATATATTTTAATTCTACATATGCTATAAATTCCTACATTATGTTATCAATTTTTATTAGTCTATTTGCTCTCTGACAACCCCTCCCCATTTTTTTAAACAGATGTTTAATTCTCAGACATATCCAAAAGGGTAAGTAAGTCATCTGGAGTCCAGGCTGTTTGTGTCATGTTAGTAGTACTATCTTTAGGGTTTTGCTATCACACTGTTGTTCCATATGACAAAACACTTTGTCTCCAGTGTAGCTAGTTGGAAGTGAGAATAAAGCAAAGAAGATGCAATCCAGAGATTCAGTGTTTGTGTTCCCACCTCTGACTAGAACTTCTTCATGTGCCATGTCAGTACTGGAGGAGAGTATGAGAGGTGTAGTCTTCCTTGGATTCCTAGGACCTATCTGAAAATAAGGGTTTCCATTATCTTCTGTAATAAATAACTATAGCCTGTCATCCAAAATACCTGTCTTCATAAGCTAAAAATGATTTTCCATTCCTAAATGTCTTTTTTTTTTAACTCCAAATGATTTTTTTTTTAATCTGGAACAAAAGCAGAAACTCAGACCAATGGATTAGAATTGAAAGCCTAGATATAAATGCATACAAATATGAACAGTTAATCTTCAACAAAGGAGCTACAGCCATATAATGAAGAAAAGATAACCTCTTTAATAAATGGTGCTGGGAAACATGGATAACCACTTGCAAAAAAATGAAACAAGACCAGGCCTCCCTGGTGGTGTGAAGGTTAAAGACAGGCACTCTCAAGCTATGGCCAGCTACTGCAGCATGAGTTCGATCCTCGGCCAGCCAGGGAGCAACCCACATGGCATAGCAGACCTCTCCTGTCTCGCCTGCTGCTCCCCTCAGTAGTGTATTTTGGTAGATTTCCCTGTTCTGCTCCCCACTCTCTCTGGTGAATCATCTCACCCCCCGCACCTCTGGCTTACACCCCAGTTCTTGTATGCATAAATAAATATATTTTACAAAAAATAAAATAAGACCCATATTTAACTCCACACACAATAATTCCTCTGTATATAACTAAAACCATAAAGTACTTAAAAGAAAATACAGGGGCACACACAGGACATGCACCACAAAGATGCATTTAATGATACAACCCCAATGGCAAGGAAACAAAAGCAAAAATAAATGAGTGGAACTATATTAAGCTTAAAAGCTTTTGTTCCTCAGAAGAAACCACCACGAAAACAAAAGGGCGAACCATAGAATGAGAAAAAATATTTGTATACCACACATCTCACAAGGGGTTAATCTTCAAAATTTACAAAGTTCTATCAACAAAGAAACTAGAAACTGAGGGCACCGGTAACGCATTCCAAACACCATCTCACAAGACGGGAACTTTGTGTCAGGGAACTCACGAAACCTCTGTGGAACTGAGCAAGGGCTATCCCTGCAGTCAGATGTGAGCTGAAAAGCACACACAAGTCAGGCCCCATGCCTGACTGTGATTAGGAGCCCAGAGGGGTTTACATCCACTGTTGGGGCAGTCAGGACCTCAAGACCCCCCTCTGGAACTAAGTAAATACAGAAGGAGGGGAATTTCAGAGAAAATGCCCATCAACATATCCATAGTACCACTGCCCTACTGCAGTTCTGGCATTAACAGTACTAGACTCAATCAGGCCACCAGTTTCTGACATCCCAGAAGAAGTACCGCAAAGAGATGCCCACCAGTACCA